ATATATCCGTATATATAGTTCAAAAGTTCAGTCAAACAAAAACAAAAATGTGTGAGAGAGCGCTCGCGTCTCTGATTGGTTGTTAAAACAATAAACTCGCGAGATTAAATTCACTTCGATAATAACTTAATAACAAGCCAAGCAAAAAACACAAACCAAAAAAAAAGAATAATGATAAAACTGCGGTTCACGTTTTGCAAAAAAAAAAAAAAAATGTTATACAAAATATGAACAACAAATATTGTGTATATGTTTTACGAATTAGTATCTTGCAGATATATATTATATTGGTTAAACGTCGACGCGCTGTGTTTGACTGCCTGTTTTGATTTGAATTGAGTGGCCGGCGATCGGATTCGGGCTGGCTCGGGCTCTCTATTTGCCAACTTTCGCGCAGAGAGCGGCAACAGCTGAGGCAGAGGCTCAGGCAGAGACAGCGGCAGCGGCAGTGGCAGCGGCAGCAGCGACACAAGCAGAGCGACGGCAGCAACAGCAACAAGCGAACTAAACTCTTCAGTTACTATGAACGTACTAATGAGGAGTATAACGAGGTGGCCCCCTCTGGCCAAGAATTTATGCTCGTTGGTGTGAGTAAGCGTGGGTAACTGTATCTGCCTGTGTGTGTGTGTGTGTGTGTGCGTGAGTGAGTGTGTGCAGATTCGCGACCGCCACTGAGCGCGCGCAAGCGCATGTGTGAGTGTGAGTGTGAGTGAGCTTGGGTGAATCGACAATCAAATTACGCGAGCCTCTGTGGGTAGCGTCTGCGTGAAGCGAAAGACTAGAAACAATAAATGAGCATTAAATAGAGTTAATATTTGCTAGATGGCAATAATAAATAGCTGAATTAACTAGATGACGCCGCCCCCTAACACAGCGCTGGCCTTGCCAATCACAACTACATATCAGCAGCGCTCGCAACAGCTGTTTTACACACACACACACAGACACACAGGCACACGCACACACACACAGAGAGAAACACTCCAGCCTGACGAGCGTCGGCCGAACGCCAGCGACAGTGGCCGAACAGCTGAGCACAAACAATGAATAACTGTGAGTGTGCCCTGCATGCGGCAGATCTGGAGTGAGGCATATCAATAGTGCCAAGCGCTTGGCAATTGCTGGAGCTGGCATGAAAACGCCCAAGTGAGAGACAACTAACAAATAACAGTTGCCAATAAGACAATGAATATTATTCACATAGTTTCATTATTATTGTCACATTCATGTTGCATTGCCCAAGTGGCTCAAGCAACTCGCTTGATTTGCGCAACTGTAGCGCATTGCTGCAGTCGCTACGAGCGTCGCTGCCTGACGTCGCCTGTAGTTCTCTCAGTAGCGTCGCTCTCTCACTCTCTTCTTCAATTCTTCTTGTTATGCTGATTTGGTGCGGCCAGCTGGCGCTCTCAGCGTGATCAGCTGTTCGCGCATTTAGCAAACGCAGCCGAGCCGAGCGTTTGAGCGCTTCGTATTTCTCTCTCCCTCTCTCATTTTTCATAAATCTTATTACTTTTCTTTACGCGCTCTCTCTCTCTCTCTCTCTCTCGTTTCTTCTTTTTGCAAAATAAACAAAGCGCATTTTGAGTCTTCTGGCGGAACAACAAACTTTTGAATACCCAAATATGAACATTTGTTAACATTATTTCCGTTATCAGTGAGGTAGGCGGGGCCTGTTATCAGTTCAGTCGAATAGTGTTGGACCTTTGAACCAGCGGAAGCATAAGCCTTTGCAAATGCTTGATGTATATCACTTCCGAATAGTGCTGTGCGCTCGGAAAGGTGCAAACCGTGTGTTATTCATCGCTGTAAAAACTTGGGTCACACGCACACCGGCCCAGAGAGCGAGTGAGAGAGAGAGGGAGATAGAAAGCATTTGAAATGAGGAAAAAAATGCCGACGTCACGGAACCTCATACAAAATTTCAGTTATTTCCGTTCAATTTCACAAGAACTCAATTACTCATACGTAGCGGTGTCTGCCATGCCGCCGGCTAGTCAAGCTTGCTCTCTCACACACACATACATATACATGTACACTTGTGCTTGTTGTCGCCACATTGGAGGTTCATTCATGAATTTTTTCGCGCCGCCGCAAACAGAGCGAGAGGCGATTGGGTGAGCGAGCGAGAGAGAGAGGGAGAGCGCACGTTTATTGTCACAAATCGTAAGCTAAATTTCACCATGCCTAAAACATGATCAATCTAAAAATTATTGAGCGCTCTTACTCATGGAGACGTCGCCAATTGAGGCGACTCCATGGCCCATTATTTAGCACTCGCATGATTGGCCCAAGCTATTTTTAAACTATTGTGTAGCGGCGCGGGCGTGAAGTTGCCATTTGGTAATCTTGACTGTTTGTGTTTCCAATGTGTGTGTGTATTTTGGTTTTTGCTACCTTTGGGGTCAGCAATTGATCGAGCCGGCGCCTTCACAAAGACCTTTTCGGAACTGCTCGCTCATACTTTGGCATGCAGTTGTGTTTCTCTGGGATTTCCCATTGACAGGGGCCCGCGGCCCGGGGCCCGATCGCAC